CACGAACTACAAACATATTAACGCCAAACATTCGGTAGAATTTATAGAATATTGTAAATATATATATATATATATATATATAGAAAGAGAGAGAGAATAAAATAGAATATAGATCATCTAATCAAATTTTACCATTTTTACGTTTTTGTAGTTTATTAATATTTATTTATTTTTAGAAGATTTTACTCATTTTAATATATATTTTTTAATTGATTTATTTATGCATTTGCATAATATTTAAGCATATTTAATCTAATTGTTGTGGTCCCAAATAGCCACGCTGATTTGAACATTTTATATACAGTCGAACCCATGGAATTATATAATTATATAACTCAATGGTCCAGACAGGTAGGATGCATATGCCCGTTTTGTTTTATCGCTTTAGTTTTATTAATCAATGAACCGGGCTTTGTTGTAACTGTGTAATAAGGTAATTAAATTATTAATTAATTATAAATAAATTAATAATTTAATCTTTTTTATTAAAATTAACTTAACTATCATTAATAAATTAATTATTAATTAAACTAACATTTGTTAAAAATTAACTGATTACTTTACTAATATATTATTTTAAAAGGTAAAGTAAAACCTAAAACTGGAGAGGTCTTACAGTACAAAATTTTTGGGTCTAATTATCTCAGATAATTTATCTTGGGCTGAACATATTAATACTATTTCTTCTAAATTAAGCAAAATTTTAGGTCTTCTTTATAAAATAAGATACAAACTTAATAAAAATACTTTAATATTGTTGTACAATGCATTTGTTTTTCCTCATCTATCATATTGTAATCTTATCTGGGGCAATAGCCCTGCTGTTCATGTCTCAAAACTATATAGAATTCAAAAAAAATTTATAAAACTATTATTATATTTAAAAATTACCACTCATGTTGATGAATAGTTTTCTTCTTTAGGTCTTCTTACAATATACAAATTACATATTTTTACTGTTGCCTTTTTCATGTTCAAATTTGTCAATAATCTGCTACCATCTAATTTCTCAAATATTTTTTCACTCAAACCTTCACATATTTTTAAATCTACTCGTCACTTCATTCCATATATAATACCATTCAGTAGACTAAAAATTTTAAATGATAGCATATTTATTCTTGCACCCAAAATTTGGTTTACAATTTTGCCTCTATCTGTTACAATTATTTCAAAACCTCGTCTTTTTAAACAACATTGTAAAACTTATTTATTGTCTGATAAACGGCGATTTTTGCAACTATAGTTGTTTTAACCTTATTTAAATCTTATTTGAATAATTTTTGTATATGAGTAATATCAATGATCTGATTAAAACTGTTTTTGTATGTATGTATGTATGTATGTATGAATGTATGCATGTATGTATGTATGTATGTATGTGCGTATGTAGGTATGTATATATGTATGTACTCTTACTTTTGAACTATATTTGGTTTCATATCATTTAATTTATTGAAATGCTATAGAATCCTAAATTCAAAACTTTAATTTTATGTACTCATTTTGAACTATATCTCTGTTTCATAAGATTAATAGAATAGAATCTGCAGTTCAATAACTTTTGATTTATTTCGATCTAATTTAATCCTTGATTTTTGTCGAACTATTTTAATTTTTGATTTTTGTTGATCAATGTTGATTTTATTTGGAAAGGGTGACTTTCTTACAAGCATTTGGTTGCTTTTTTAGTTTACCCCTCTTTTGAGAAAATAAACGAATTGAAATTGAAATAGTACTCCACCAGTAAGTTGTTTATTATAATTATAGAATAATTAATATGAAGACCTTTAAAAATTAAATTTGACTCTGCTTCTAATATCTAAATTTAATAAATTTTATTATGTAGTATATAAATTATAATATATAATAATATAATATATTTATTACTCTTATTAAGATTTAAAAAAAAAGAAAAAGTTATCTACTCTACTCTACTTATTTATTATTTCATACCTTATTTAATAATTTTTATTGATAAGGCATATAATAGCAATATGCCCATATATTTACAATATGATATATATACAATACTACATATATAAAAAAAATATGTATGCCATGTGTATATATTATATAAGTGTGGTGAAAACGTTTTCTATATGGTGTGGCATACGGTTGGATTTTTTTTGGAATTAAATAAAATAAGTCATATAATAAACAAATATTTACAATCTATAATGTAATTTAATATTTATAAATATAGTGATTAATAATCAAATGAATTTTATTTTCTAGTTAACAAAATGAGAGATTTTTTACTACTGTTCAAAGAAGAGTTTTATTCTGATGTTAATTATTACAAGCTAGCTAACAGACTGCATCAACTTGAAATAATATCAGAGAAAGACAAAGTGAGCATTTAATTTGAAAACATTTATCTTCATCAAAATTAAAATATCAATATAAATGTTACTTTATATTTAATGGAAATAAAAAAGTTAATAATTATTAACAATTCCAATGATGGGAAGTTGAGTTTCATACTTTGTACATAATTTAATGCTTATTCATTTCATGTGCTTGAGTTTTTTAGTTCTGAATTATTACTAATTAAATAAATGTATGATTGAAAAGACAAAACAAACAAATAAATAAACAAACCATTAAATAAATGCTAAATAGTAAAATGTGTAAGTTTAAATAAAGATGCATTTGAAGAGTACTTAATAATTGAAAAGTTAATTATTTTGTTTTTATATTCAGTTTGCTCAAAATAAGAGAATTTAGACGAGAAAGTGGATGAAAATGTTATTTAGATTCGAACATTTAGAGATCAACAGTACTCACAGGAATGATGTTTGGTAGGTCAGTAACTACCTGGTAGGTGAGGAACATGGAAATTGGTGGGAGACTTGACACCAATTTGAAAATCTGTTTTCATTTGCACAAAATAAGCAACAACCCACTGCTTTATTTTTGTCAGTTAGTTTTTCAGTAAAGATATTTATTGAGCTATTTTTTTGAAGCACATGCAATGAAGTTTATTCAAATTTTTAGTTTATCGTGCTTATGAATTTTTCACAATTATTTTTCCCTTTCTTGCTGCCCATTGTCTATATTTTGTCCTGAGATTTGTTTGTATTTGTTTTAATTCTTAGTATAATCTTACACAATGCATGCAACAGACAGGTTATAAGCTTTTCTCAGCAAAGTATATTTCAACTTTTTTTTGAACTTTTTGGTACCTATCCTTCCCACAAGTGGTTGTAAGTTGGACTAAGGAATGGAAAACATGATCACACCTGTGTTGTTATTGAGACTGAATTTTTGTGCTTTGGAAAAATTGTCAAACAATGGTGGTCAGTATAAATTCACTATAATCATCATCATTATTATTTTAACAGCTTGCAATGCAAAAAAATGAAAATAATTCTTTCCTGACCATGCAGCTTGTCCAGGCTTGCCATTTACTACATCTGACGAGTTTCTTCCTCAACATTTCTTGCTATCTCCCCATAGCCCCATTTCTTGTGTGCATTACTTTCATTTATGATTACATAATTTCTTCTAGTTCCTTTAGATTCATGGTACTTTTTTATAATTTCTTTTTTTGATTTCCGCCACCAGAACCAAGTCTTAATCATGTACTTATACTGGTTCTGATGTAATTTTATTTCAAGTTAATAAGAGTATTGTTGATAAAATCAAATAATTTAACAATAATAATAATTTAGCATCATAGTTTTTCTGCTATAGATGTAATAAATTTGTTTTCACCCATTGCATGTTCACATTGAGTCACCAGATTTTAAGAATTGTTTCACATTTCTTCAACAGGAAGATGTTGTACAGACGAGTATTAAAAAAATTGCTAATCATTATTTGTTTGACATTGTTTGTCGAAAATGTTATTTAAAAGATTTATTAGATGCTCTCAGTTTTTCTGGCTCATATGAGCTGGCTAAAAAAATGTTAAAAGAAAGAAAGGGTTTGAAAGAAACGGTGAACAAACTGTTAGAACTGCCTGACGATTTTCAACTTCAAAATTGTTAGTTTAGTTTCTATACTTTTTATGTGAAATTTTCTGTTTTTTAATTTTTATAGCTGATTGAATTTCTGGCTTGACCTTTTTTTTATTCCACTAAAAACATAACCAAATTGTTTATCTATTTGAATGTATTTTTAAAAAATGCAATTATTTTCATTGCAATTAGCTATATAAGGTATTCAATAGTTTTTGGACACGTCTTTAAATCCGTCATTTAAGTCTACATGTTTTTGTTCAACATATTTTTCGTATTTTTTAAAATTTTTCATAATTTATTTTTTGTCACTTCGTTGCCACTTTTTTGTCACAACAAGTAATTTTTCTTCTGCCATTTCATGTCTTGCAGGAGACATCAACATGAATGTCAATAAATTGGTAGTAAGCATGCAAATGATTCGTTTGTCATTTTTAGGTGTCTTCACCGACACATTTGTTTTATGGCTCACTAAACCTCGTTGCCTCCAACTAACTTCCCGCTCTGGAATTCTGTTGTCCATCCATGTGGCGTTATATCAAACCATAATTTTACTGGCGTCTATTTTCAATTAGCTAGAGAACATATTATATTCCTCAGACGTCTCCTTGATCGGTGGACTGTTAGGTCAAGCATTGCAGAACGATATATTTTAGAAAGATTCAAAATTAAATAGCCGATATTGAATATAGATTTCATCGTTCACGCATTGGTTTGACGGTTATGTGGTTGGTTAATAAAAAAAGACATGAAAAGTAAAACGACGATTCTGGAACAATTCATGCAATTTACACCGCAAAGTATGGAAATTGGCAACTGAAGAGAAAACTAAGTTGTGTTCATTTATAGAAAAATTTGTTAGTGAAATTTTGCAGTTGTTCATCAGCCTAACAAGTTTGTAATATAACACTTTGGTATTTGAGCTTAATATTTCCCTTGTTATTTTTATTTAGTGTGAATCCATTAGATGATTTTTTTATTGCACCATTTTGTGTATGCATTGTTAACCTTTTTGATAATGTCGTAGTAGTAAATCCGATATACTCTGTGTTTCGGTGCCTACAATCACCGATTGTAAAATCAAAAGAATATACTAGATGTCTGCTCTTCATTATCGATTTTGGTTTAGTATTGCAATTATTTTTAAGAACAAGGGATGAGGTTTTGTTGTTTGTGTAATAAATCCTAAGTTTTAATTAATCATTTTCGCTGATAGTTTTTACATTACCGTTTACAATCTTTTTTATTATTTTCTCATCGGTCTTGTAAGCTGTCATAAAGTATTATGTCATTTGTTGTTTTATTATTGTTACTTTTGTTTGTTGCATCACAATTTTTTTTCCTAATAATTTTTCAGTGAATGTTCTTTTGTAAACATTGTTAATTAGCATGTTGGTTATCCGTTTGAGTTCAGTTGCTCTATCCTCTAGATCTGTAGAATGTGTGAAGGCTCGATTAACAAATGATGAGACCGTGCTTGTTTGGTAAGCTTTGCTGCCTTTACTCCGTCCATTCAAACAAAGTCCTTTATTACTTGTTATAGTATAAACGGAAGTTTTGAATTTGTTGTTGATATTGTGTATTAAGATACTGAGGAAAGGTAGCTTGTGGTTTACGGATTTTTCCATAGTAAAATTTAATTTAGATCTATTAAAAGTGGTTATTAATTCTTCTATGGTGTCTGGGTTGTTGTACGCCACAAATATATCATCGACATATCGGCAATATATTTTTGGATTAAGTTGTGGTGTGTTCTTGAAAGTGGATTCTTCCATATGTCCCATGTAGAAATTAGCAAAGAGGACTCCAAGTAGCGAACCCATGGATCCATCAGTTTGTTTGTAAAGCTGGTTAATAACTAAATAGGGCTTCCATAGTACATATTTCAAGATGTTTTTTAAAATGGTATTTGGGGATAACCAATGGGGTGATATCGGAATGATAAACTTTGTCAAGAATGATATTAATGGTGTCTATTACAGGTACGTCTGTAAACAGGGATTCAACATCTAATGATGCGATTGTAGTACTATTTGTCAGACTGAATGTTGACAAGATATCAATAAATTCTTTACTTGAATTTAGAATATAAATATTAATTGTCTGTTAAGGAGTTTAGCTATTGGATAGATTACAGTAGGAATTTGACTAATTATTGATCTGATTGGATTGTCATTTTTGTGTGTTTTGATATTACCATACATGTGTCCAGGTTTGTATTCGTCTGAAAGTTACGATATTTATATATAGTACATGCAGTGACAGGGTTCGAATATGAGAAAAAAAGATCCCGCCTGTTACATGCTTTGTGTGTGATGCGTCGTTGTATGTGTTGTTGATTTCTATGAACCTAGGAAGAGTGTAAGAGACCTTTTAACCATTTTTTAGCCTTTTTAGAGATTATTTGGTCAATGTTTAATGCTACCGATGCTGACATGCTTGTGAGATTTGTGCTTTAAATGAAAAACTATTCAGCAACTAAGAGTTAACCAAGGAAGCAAATTATAAATATTACCCACTACGAAAAAGAAACTTTTGGCTTAAGGGACAAAATAACATTCGTGAGATGGACGGGTCATAGGTGGTCACTGGAAATTTTTAACTGAATCCCAGAAGATCGTAAAAGAAAACCAAAGAATCAGGAAGATGACCTTGATGAGATTTCGAAATTTAAACGGCAACAAGCATCGTTCTGTGCAATGGCTGAAAAAAATCAAAAGGGTTTTGGATTACAAAATAAATAAATGAATAAATTAATGAATAAATAAATTAATTAATTAAGCCAATATATAAATAAATATTAAACAAACAAGCAAATAATCAAACATATAAATATATGTTGTGTGTGTTTGCGTTCATATCTATTTCGTGTTTTGTTTTAAATAATTTGATCGTTAAATCTTTGAATCTTTTCTTCCATCATAGGACTTTTGACTCTTGATGCATATCAATCACCTTCATATACTATATACATGAATGTATTTAACATTGAGATTATTAGAATTTAACTGTTGATGCAATTAGTTTTTCATTTCAGACCGTTTATTTCAAATCCTTTTGTAAACAAAATTTTTCCAGACCCTGATAATTTGACAACACCAATAAGAAACAAGTTCGCCAACTCAAACGTTACAGAATTCAAAGCTAACATAACTATACACGGAGACGGGAATACTGTGGTACTCTCTCCCAGTCCGCAAGTTCAATCTACAGATTTGTTACTTGATCAACGAAAACAAGATGGCTATAATGATGGTCATGATAATAATGAATCACTTTATACTGTAAGAAGCACCGATAGTGATATCGTTGCCTATCATTCTACTGACCAGTCTGATATATTGATGGTAAATGGTGTCCACGATGATTCAAATGTTCAGGAAGGAGAGGTTTCGATCGTTACATCGCGTTCAATTGGTGGTAACGACATCACCGCCAATAGTCAAGCAGCTAACCTACCACATGAAATTATCGATAGCCAAACACTCGGCATATCCTTAAGGTCGTCGTTACAAGTCACAGATGACAATCTTTCATCGGAAGAAACGACTGTTAAATCTTTTTATTAAGTTAATATTAAATTTCTTTATTTTGTTCTTCTTGATTGCTGATGATAATTTTTGATAATAAATAGAAAAACAATACAAAATTTAAATGATGGGGGCTCTGGCACGGTTACCGAGGGCTGTCTGGATTTTTTTAGAATGATTTTTTAAGAATTAATGTTCTTATTGAAAAAATGAGATTATCTTTTATTTGCCAAACATAAAATAATAAGCTACTACATATTTAGATTTGTCTCTGTTATTATTTAGGCAACAAAATATTTTTTTATGAAAATTATAATAAAGTTATTGGGCAGTAACAAAAAGTCTGTTAAAATGTTTAGGAGTTAATTAAAATTAAATGTAGCTGCTGATTTTTTGATTTTTGTAATTTTTATCAAAAAAATTTCGAATGCAAGGTATCAATCCAGCAGCGGATCGAGGAGTGGGCGTGCAAGGATGCATCACCAGACCGTGAAAAAAAAAATGCTGAAGAATCTGCGTAAGATGTAGTAATAAAGTAAACGGAAGTTAGCAAAATAGTCATTAACTTAGAATTCTTGAAATTCAGGAAAAATAGTCATCTGCTTTAGAATTTCTGAATCCGCCACTGTTTTTACATCAACAATTATAAACGAACGAGTGAATGCTGGTAGTGGGGGAAATGCTGAGTAAGGTTTGGTAAACTAAAGCATGTGAGAAAGCGGAGTTATGTATTAAGATAAAGAAATTAAAAAATTTTACTATTGCTATGTCAGTTCTTAAAAAATGTTTATTGTGAAACATTGTTGGGAGAGTTAAACTGTAAATATATCTTTAATGGTTGTATGGGAAATCAAATCAAAAGGACGAATAAAAATACGTGTTATTAAAAACACCTACCGTAACTTATTTAATTAGGGAGGCGAAAAATAGGCTGCTATTATGTCAAAATTATTCTTGTGTCCAAACAACTGGGTAGATTATTAAACGGAGGACGGTTATTTAACAAATTCGACATTATTAAATTATAGATAGAACAATCCTAGAGAAATAGAATTTAAGGGTGAATTACTTAATCCTGCGGCAACATATTCATCGTTATGACATTATCTGAAAGCGTAATGGAAAAGTCAAATGAGTTAACCGAAAATTGTGCGTGCCTGTTATCAATTTATTTATTGTCAACTATTTTCGCATTATCATCATTGCCTAATCGTGGAAATTTGGAATAGGAATTGAACTTAGCTTCGAATCGTTAGTGTCATGGTTTAATCCACGATCACAGACAGTGGCGGATTTAGGGGGAGCATGGATATATATAATCTATATATGTAATATAATATATATCCATGGGGGAGAACTTCGGCCGCCAAATACTCCATGACCGCTGCTAAGTATACGGGCGCTCCGACTCCTACTCTCTCGGCGTAGTTGCCTTTGCGCAACAGCCTATGTATTCTTCCTACCGGGAACTGCAATCCGGCTCTGCTCGATCTGCTATTGGCCTTTCCTTTGACCTTGCCACCCTTTCCTCTTCCAGACATTTTTGAATAATGTTGTTCAAAGCAAATTGGCAAAAGAAAGAATCTCTATATTAATTGCAAACGATACTTAATTTTCGACAAATGCTATGTTTATATATCCCTCGGCTGTATGCTAGTAACTCTTTGATAGTTATTTTAATATATCACATGATGCAATACGCATTTACAACCAATCAATGAGCGGCAGCTTGTAAATGTATTTAAATGTACATTCATTTACTACATGTCGGTATAATATTGCTGTAGGTTATTAGGCATTGTGCAATTGTTCTATATAAGTGCACACACACACACACACATTTGCCACGTGTATAAACGTTTTATTACTTATGTTTTATTTTTTTATTTTAAATTTGATTTTAGTGAAAAAATAGCAATCGCAATAGCGTCGATAAATAAATGTGCCTACGCTTGTTGTGAAAGCGAATGTTGTAGAAGATTCACGGTTAGAGCCGACAACCGTTTTCTTGCACGTGACTGAAAAGCTCTCTACAAGGTGAGCGACTTCGTTTCTTGTATATAAACGCCGTCGTTTTATTCAGTAGCAATAACAAACTGTCTGTTTTGTCGGTCGGTCGACTGGCTTCTTGTCTGTCTTTCTTTTTTGTTGCAAAGGAAAATCGATCATGTCTGGAAGGGGAAAGGGTGGTAAAGGTCTGGGTAAAGGTGGAGCCAAGCGTCACCGCAAAGTTCTCAGAGACAACATCCAGGGCATCACAAAGCCCGCAATCCGCCGTCTGGCCAGAAGAGGCGGGGTCAAACGCATATCAGGTCTGATATACGAAGAGACCAGAGGCGTTCTCAAGGTGTTCCTTGAAAACGTCATTAGGGACGCCGTCACTTACACCGAGCACGCAAAGAGAAAAACCGTAACAGCCATGGACGTCGTGTACGCTCTCAAGAGACAGGGACGTACCCTCTACGGTTTCGGCGGTTAAAGGCCCACAGACCTAAACTTACGTAAACAACGGTCCTTTTCAGGGCCCCTCAATATATCGACGTCGAGTCTTAGCCTGTCGACGGCTGGCTGCCACATCAAACGAAACTATATCCCTTTTTTATTGTTCGCTTCGATGCCGTAATGAGCGATAATGTAATTATTTTTTTATTAGGCGAAACGAAATGAAAGCTGCTATTTTTCCAATTTGTTTGTACGTAAATACATTTTTACAAGATTTTTGGAAATCAAGCAAAACCTATAGTAACATGGTCATCACGTAAAAGTCAAAAGGTAGGCTACTTGCGAGAGGCAGGCCGTTGTGAAAACATTTCATGAAAACAGTTCAACAAGTACAAAAGTAGTCTTAAAACAACACATTAAATAAGATTAATCGTCGTTGTGAAAACAGTTCAACAAGTACAAAAGTAGTCTTAAAACAACACATTAAATAAGATTAATCGTCGTTCACTATGTGATTCAAAAAGTAGATGTGATAGAATACCTGGTTAAGCTATAAAATAATTAACGGATCGACGATATAATCTTCCAGAGAAAATTTTTAAATATTGTACGACAAAACGTCATTATACAAATGTTTGTGTTTGTTTCATTTATTTTATTTAATCACATTCATTCCTTCCATAAAGCTTACGAGACTGTTAATTTGGATGCTTGCTTACGATCGTAAATGATCACGTAGGCGTGCGAACTGAAATGAAGCTCTCCGTTAGGTAGGAGTTTAAATATATTAAATAACTTGAAACAACACATTAAA